TTCGTTGAAGTTATTGGTTCCTACTTTCATTTTACAAAAAAGAAAGAAGCAAAGTTTTTTTCATGTGTTTTTCTTTTACTAAGAGCCACTTTTAGTGTGAAACCTATAGCTTGGTGTTTTCTTTGTCTTTAGAAGGCGTTGTATAAGATAGAATTGACAATGTTTTGTGTCATTTCTGTTTTGTTATTGTCTGTGATGATATTTCAGGCACCGTGTTTTTAGTTTTAGAGTTCATTCAGAAGTGTTTTTAAAATAATTAAAAAAACTTTTAGAGAAAATATTAGGATTCATTTGCAAGAAGCATTTTAAATGCTTTTGGATGATTCATTTGCATTTTTTTTTTACTAAGGATTCTTTCCGAAAAGATCTTCATCAAAATCCACTTTAAGCAATTATAAAAGCAACTGCAAATAGGTCCTTAATTTTTTTTCTAATACAATGATATAGTTATTCTAAAAGGTGGAAATAATAAATAGATCTCGGACTCGCGATTTACGAAATTCAAACTTAAGATCTCTTACTTACACATGAAAAATAATACGACTAGGCCGTAACAGTAAGTGACTAAATTCTGTGTTTTTAAATTTAGTTTTGCTCTTAATAGCCACTTAAGTTTGATACCATCTTCGGATGTGTGAATAAAACATCTATTGAACAAAAGAAATTAAATAATATTTTTTGTATAAACATAGATTGTCTCATATTATTGGCTATATTAAGTTGGTAAGACCTAAAATCTAATAAAAAAAATTAGTTAATTTAGAGAGAGCCTTCCCAAATTAACATGACTCCGATCATATGGTGGCTTTAATTTCAATTCACTATTGTATATATAAATATTGAAGAGGACAATTCGAAATATATAATAGTTCAACTAGGTGTGCAAGTTGTCTTCAAGTGGTGCCAATATGAAGAAATAAAATAAACAAATAAAAGGGATTATGCCGAGTTGGGCAAAAACTAATGTGATTTTGTGTTAAATTTGTCATTTGATCAACGTTGTGACTTTAAATAATAGTAAAATATGTATTGCTTTGGTTTTGGTCTGATTCTGGTTTTGATTACCGGCTTTGGTTTTAGTTTTGGTTTTGGGCTCTTGGTTTTGGATTAGCGTACTAAATAATTTGGACGCCAAAAAGAAAAAAGAAACGCACAATTTGTAGTTAGTCATTCAACTAATGAGATTAATAATTGATCAACGTGTGACTTTAAACAATAATAAAATATGTATAGCTTTGGTTTAGGTCTAATTCTGGTTTTGATCATCGGCTTTGGTTTTGGTTTTGGTTTTGAGCTTTTGGTTTTGAATTAGCGTACCAAATACTTTGGACGCCAGAAAGAAAAAAGAAACAGATAATTTATAGTTTGTCATTCAACTAATAAGACTAATAATTCATCTCTTACTGGTATCAGGTGAAATATCTTACAATTAAAATTTTAACTTTGCAAAGTAGACTAGTCAAATGAGCTAGTCAACTAGTTACAAGTTGGTCAGTAACAAAAAGTACAGTTGCAAGAACTAAATTTACTTGACTAGTACGTCTAACTAGTTAGAGACTGCTCAGATTTGTCTCCCAACACCAAATTCCACATTTGAACACATTTACACATCTGTTCATTACGCAAAGAACAATGACAAAGCAACTGTGAATTAAAGTATACTAGGTTGACTAGTCAAACTCACCAATCAACTAAGTATAAATTTATTAGTTAACTAATCATAAATCTATCAATTAAACTTAGTTTGCTACAAGTTATTCGCATCAATAACAATTCAATTTATTACTTATAATATGCAGTGTAAACTTAATCCGAAAAACATATCAAATAACAATTCATATGATGCATGTAACATATGCAATAAATAAGATATGTGGACAACTGTAAGTAACAAGGAACACAAAGAAATTAAACTCTGAAAAGTTGACTTGTTAGAGAACTAGTCAGCTAGATATGAGTTTCCCAGTTATGAGAAGCACAACTCCAATAAAATGAACTTGACTCGTATGTTTGACAAGTCAAAATCTACCCAAATGTCTCTCACAATACAAAATCACAAGCAAATACATTATCACACAGCAGTTCAGTTATCAAATCCGTTAATACAGCACGGTGACAACTATTTTGCTAAGTTAGCGTTTTATGTTTTGTTAAAATTTCTTTAAACTGCGGACCTCTTGAATGTCATATTGAATGTTTTCTTTAATATTTGTATGAGTTATTAATTTTATCATAAAACCACTAACGTTTCGTCTATAAAAAAATAAATAAAAAATAAAAAATAAAAAAAAACTAATAATTCTTGAATTTATGTTAACTAAGGGCTCCGCGATGTTTATAGATTGAATTTAACAAGTTAGTTAATTTAATATATTCTTTTTGTCAATTTCCTATAATCTTTGACACTGATGTACTGAGAACAAGAAATTGATTGATTTATCCGAACTTAAGAATTAGAACATTACACAGGCTTATCAATATATTGTTAAAGCTTCATTACATAAAATGAAAAGTACTTCAAATAAGTTTTTAAATATAAAAAACTGTACGTAATTGTGATCAAAATAATTATCAAACCTAATTATAGGTGCTAGATGGACTAAGCCCTTTTCTTAGGACTGAGCTTGGTGACAAAATTTTTTACTTTCTAATTCAAACTCATCTGACCAAGCAAAAGAAAAACACTTAATGCAGATTGCTTCGTATCGGAGACAGCTAGTAGGTTTATGGATAACTCTGATCCAAAAAATAGAAAACAAAAATTCGGAATTAACTTGGTTTCTTAATGGTTTAGGAGGAGTTCCTCTTCAATTTATTTTGTAGCCTATGTACGGAACATCGGCCTTATAATTGGATCGTTAATATTATAAATTATACTATAAAGATCATCTCTACAAAAGATCGATAAGATATGAAATCTTTTAGTTACCAATTTATACAAAAGAAATCCCTAGAATACATCTTGCAATCATTTTCATCACTCTCTCAACAAAAGAAAACCCTAGATCTGCAACCAAGCTCAGTCGTCGACACCTTGCTCAAGCTTGGGGCCGGTATCAGCCTTTGCCCGCATCCTCCTAGCCTCTACCCCTCATCCTAAACCCCATCCACACATGTTCATCCTTACACCTCGCTTCCCCTTTAACCCGACAGTTCTCCAGTGACCTATCCACTTCTTTTTTTCCATTTTCTCCCCATCCATGAGTGCTACCCAACACCTACAGTCTACCCCCACCACAGCCATTTTTTCGTGCCTCTATTGGTACTTTTCTTATTGTCTGAATCGTGGCGCTGCTGTCGTACCTGGATGGATCGTGGCGGCTCCCTTTACTTGGCTTGCGGTTGTGGCTGATCTGACAGAAACGGTAAAGCCGCCAGTGGAGACGAGCCAACCGGTGGAGATGAGCCGATAAGTGGATTTCATTGTCGGATTAGCATAAGTTTTGTTTGTATTGTGTCTAGCGGGTAATGTCTTACTTAGCGAGTGATGTGGCCTCGTTTATTAGCCATGGTTTAATATGGTCTCTCGTTTTGGTGGTGACATTACTTCTGCCTAATTTAGGTTCATTATGGCATTATGGAAGATATAAACCTGCACGCTTGTGCTAGTACCGGTAGTGCTTGTAGTAGCCAATTAGGGTTATCTTTATACTTGTTTGCGTACAAAATTCATGTTAGTATGGGCACTAGTTGTTTCGTTGACAGTTCCTATTTAAAGTCAGCGTTGTTCATTCTCAAACAATGTTATCTTGTTTGTTATATTCATGGTTTTGTGCATTGAAATTTTCAAAGCTAACTCGGGAAGTGCTTGACCTTTTTCATCATGAATGGAGTTCCTTGGTTAGAATGTCATCTCAGTCCTCTAAGTTTGTGTGTACAAAACTTGGATGCGTTCTTTGCTTATTCTTGGGCTCATCTCACCCTCAAATACACCAGTATGATGTCAACTAGTTTTGGCAAGTTCGCTTTTTAAGTTTTGTTAAAGTCACTCTTGATTGAGAACTTCTCGGATGTTATCTCGAATGTTTTCTTTGTATTAGCTATCGATTCCAATCGTTTCATCTTAAAAAAAAAAAAAAAAAAGATTCTTGAGTTTATGTTAATTAAAAGGCTCTTGGATGTTATATATTAAAGTTAATAAGTCACTCTTGATTGAGAACTTCTCGGATGTTATCTCGAATGTTTTCTTTGTATTAGCTATCGATTCCAATCGTTTCATCTAAAAAAATAAAAAAAGATTCTTGAGTTTATGTTAATTAAAAGGCTCTTGGATGTTATATATTAAAGTTAATAAGCTAGTTAATTTAATATAATCATTTTTGTAAATTTAATATTATGTTGTTTTCGTGTCATACCTAATATCTTAACGGGTTGTGTCGTGCAACACTCGTTAAAATAAATAGGAAAATCACTACTACAATATAGGCTATCACTGGCGAAGCAAAAAGCGACAAGAAATCCAATTTTTGTCGGAACTATGGCAAAAATCCGACATAAAACAATGTAATGTCGGATTATAATAGCGAAGCTAATGCTACCGTCACGAGAGGGCTTCAATGTCGGTTTGTTCGCTTAATCCGCCACTACACAACGTCGGTTAAAAGCGACACTAATGTTGACGTCGGTTTAAAGCGACGTATACTTCAACATTGCGTCAGTTTAAAGCGACGCATACTTCAACATTACGTCGGTTTAAAGCGACGTGTACTAGTAATTCAACTATAAAATATTCAACCTACTGTCGGTTTTAACCAACATCGTGATAAAATTAAACAAATAAAATATCCCTTAACCGACGTCAGATAACAATTAAATAAATAAAATATGCAAACTAGTAACGGTTTTAACCGACACCACCTTTGTTAATAGTAATAAAAATATTTGGAAATCTGTCTCTGCATTCGTTTTCAATTAATTGTGCCTAAAAAAAATTATATAACCAAAATAATAAATTTCAATTAATTTATTCAAGAATTCAACTGAGGTCTTTGGGTGTAGAATTTCTTGTTAAATGCATTCTATTTCATATAAACAAGTAAGTACAAAGCTATTAGAGAACCGGTTACAAGATGAAGATAAAAAAACTAACAATTACATATAATACTAATCAGAGCTCCATGCTTGCATATAATACTAGCAGCTGCCATGATGCGTTCCCATGCTTGCCTTTGTCGAAGACCACAGATTCTGTAGCTCCATGCTGCCATATATAATACTAGTAGCTCCATGCAACCATGATTGCCATCAGATCAATGCTCCAATACTTTACTACTTCAACATTAGGGCTCTAATCTCTATAGATTAAATTCAGGTTTTATACCTTTCAAAAATTATGGATCTGAAATTTCCAGTGTCCTTGCTCTTCAGATCCAAAATGAACATGCATGAATTTTTATATGGATTTTCGAACTGTTGATCTTACTGAACAAGAACATAAAAGAGGAGCTCAGTGAAGATTATAGCTTTAGTGAGTCATGCATTAGATTGCTTAGCATTCACATATTAATAGCTACATGGAAGGTTATAAATACATCAAGAGTTCCGCTTATTCTTCCTACCTTTTCACCACGAAATCATCCAATTAGAATATATTTTGTTGTTATACCTTTAAATGACGGATCTAGAACGGAGACAATTCTCTGGTGGTTTTTCCTTGAGATGCGATTTGGGGCTGTACCAGTGGTTGCATCGTCTTTTTTCTTTTTTTTTGTACAGATCTTGGGTCCCTGCAAAAGAAACAACACAAGCATTTGGAGTTGAAGATTTTTTTCTTGTATGGTATATTTCAATCCGTGAACCTGAGTGCATGAATCGGCAAAGGAGGGTAAGAAGTTTACTTGATGTGTCGGCACCAAGATCGGTGTTGCTACCCTTTTGGTGATGCAATAAATCCATGGTTGCAAGGTCTTATGGGTTGATGATGGAAGATTAAGGTTTGGTTTGCAGAAAAGGAGGTTAGGGTTTGAGAAAATGTGGAGAGAGAAGCTGTAGTTTTAGGGTGTGCTTGGAAGAAGGGAGAGATAAATGAGGGAGGTGAGGCTCTTGAAATAGGGAGACTGATATCCTCTTTTTCATTTAAAAAATGGAGGGGAAATATCCCGCCCAAAAGAGAAGAAGATGGAGGGATGGGAAATGGAGAAGTCGAGGAAAAAGAGAGAGAATAGGAATGAGAGAGAGAAGGATGAAAGAAGCTTGAGTGTGGGTACAGAGAGAGACATTATGGAGACGGAAAAGAGGGGGTGAAGAAGAACCAGTTAAAAAAAAAATAATGTGAGAGAAATGAGGCATGTGTGTCAAAGAGAGATAAAGAACCCATGTGAGGAACCGAACAAAGAGAAAGAAAATAAAAAATGATGTGACAGTGATGTGTGTGTAAGAGAGAAAGAGTCATGTGAAGTCTGACATTCTTTATCGGAAATCACAGCGTCGGTTTAAATTAATGTTGGTGTCGGTCTAAACCGACACTAACTTCTGACACACTTTTTAAAATTCACGTAGCGTCGATTTAATGAAACTCGCGTTGAATTAAAAGATGATAGCGTCGCTTAAAACCGACACCAACATTTTAAGATTTTAATAAATAAAATACTTAATAAAAAAACAGAAATATAATTTTATTATAAAATATCATCACATTCTAATTGAAACATAGTCTAATTAATACTTAAAATACATAAAATTAATTAATATATTTTAACTCTGATTTTGATTATTTTTTATAGCTACACTTATTGATCTTATATGAATATAATAAATGAATTCAATCTTCATTTTAAAATATTTACACTAGTGGATACCACAAAATCTTATGTTATAGTCAATGAAAGTATAAATAAACTCTAAGTGTTAGTGAATCTATCGTTTTGATGGGATACGCATATTACGAAACTAATTTCAACGATCCAACTGTCAAACTTGTTTGTATATGCTTCGAGATCGCATACACCAAAAATCGCAAAAAACAAACATTCAGAGATCAAGTAACGGTACAAAACTTTTCGACAGTTATAAACGAAAAATCACGATTTAACGGTTATTTTAACTTCGATTTTGATGATTTTTTACAGCTACACTCTTTCATCCTATATGAATACAATGAACTAATTTGATCGTCAATTTAAAATATTTACAGAAGTGGATACCACAAAATCTTATGTTATACTTAATGAAAGTATAAATAAACTCTAAAGTGTTAGTGAATCTATCGTTTTGATGGGATACGCATCCTTCAAAACTAATTTCTACGATCCAACCGTCAAAATTGTTTATATATGCTTCAAGATAGTATACTCCAAAAATCGCAAAAAACAAACATTCAGAGATCAAGTAACGGGACACAACTTTTCGACGGTTATAAACAAAAAATCACGATTTAACGGTTATTTTAACTCCGATTTTGATTATTTTTTATAGCTACACTCCTTGATCCTATATGAATACAATGGATAAATTCGATCTTTAATTTAAAATATTTACACTAGTAGATACCGCAAAATCTTATGTAATACTTAACAAAAGTACAAATAAACTCGAAGTGTTAGTGAATCTATCGTTTTGATGGGATACGCATATTACGAAACTAATTTCAACGATCCAACCGACAAACTTGTTTGTATATGCTTCAAGATCGCATACGCCAAAAATGGCAAAAAATAAACATTCAGATATCAAGTAAGGGGACAAAACTTTTCGACGGTTATAAACGAAAAATCACGATTTAACGGTTATTTTAACTCCAATTTTGATGATTTTTTACAGCTACACTCCTTAACCCTATATGAATACAATGAATGAATTCGATCTTCAATTTAAAATATTTACACTAGTGGATACCACAAAATCTTATGTTATATTTAATGAAAGTATAAATAAATTATAAGTGTTAGTGAATCTATCGTTTTGATGGGATACGCATTCTACGAAACTAATTTCAACGATCCAACCATCAAACTTGTTTATATATGCTTCCAGATCACATACACCAAAAATGGCAAAAAACAAACATTCAGAGATCAAGTAACGGGACAAAACTTTTCGACGGTTATAAACGAAAAATCACTATTTAACGGTTATTTTAACTCCGATTTAGATGATTTTTTACAGCTACACTCCTTGACCCTATATGAACACAATGAATGAATTCGATCTTCAATTTAAAATATTTACACTAGTGAATACCACAAAATCTTATGTTATACTTAATGAAAGTATAAATAAATTCTAAGTGTTAGTGAATCTATCGTTTTGATGAGATACATATTCTACAAAACTAATTTCAATGATCCAACCTTCAAACTTGTTTATATATGCTTCGAGATCGCATACGCCAAAAATCATAAAAAAACAAACATTCAGAGATCAAGTAACGGGATAAAACTTTTCGACAGTTATCAACGAAAAACCACAATTTAACAGTGATTTTAACTTCGATTTTGATGATTTTTTATAGCTGCACTCCTTGACCCTATATGAATACAATGAACAAACTCGATCTTCAATTTAAAATATTTACATTAGTGGATACCACAAAATCTTATGTTATACTTAATGAAAGTATGAATAAACATTTAAGTGATAGTTAATCTATTGTTTTGATGGGAAACGCATTCTACTAAACTAGTTTCAACAATCGAACCGTCAAATATGCTTGTATATACTTCGAGATCACATACACCAAAAATTGTAAAAAACAAACATTCAGAGATCACGATTTAACGGTTATTTAAAAAAAAACTAAAAAGAAAAATTGGAAGAACGAATAAGAAAAATGCAAGAGATGAAGATGAAAACACGGGGGAGAGTACATAAAAACCATCAATTTGTCGTTTACAACCGACACCAGGTTTCAAAATATTTTAAAAAAAAAATTAAAAACTATGTTGCTCAGAACCGACGCAGGCTTTAAAATATTTAAAAACAATACTTTATGTCGCTTAAAAGCGACACCCATACTTTGTGTCGCTTAAAAGCGACACTCTTTTGTTTAAAGTGACGCCAATATTTAAAAATTATTAAAACATATGTCGGTTATAAGTGATATTAAATGTTTACGTCGGTTTAAAAGCGACGTAGACATTTTATGACGCTTATAAGCGACAGTAAATCCGACATCATGTTTAGTTAGTGTCGCAACTGTCTTGTCCGCCACTATATTATATTAAACCGACACCACCTACTGACACTATAAGGCCCTTTTGTAGTAGTGAATGACCCGATCCGAAATCGACCCAATAATATTAATAGGTAATATGACCCGACTCATTACCCGTTAAGAAAAATATATTTTAAACCAATAAATAATCAAATGAAAAACATAAGACTAAATAAGTATATACATATCATATTGTCACATCCAAAACATAAAAACATAAATTTTCTTTTAAGTATATTTTCGCTTATCTAAATTGATTGCTCTAGCCTTTTCTTTGCAAGACTAGTATTTGTATTGTCTATACTTTTGCTTACAAGATCTCGTTCTGTTCCCATTATAGTTTTCACACTCTTCATCAGTTATTGAATCTGAATCTCTCGCATCCACTGCTTCTAAAACAAAATGGGTATAAATTAATTAAGGGAAGTATTATTGGCACTCCAAAAATCTCATTCTACACTCCTCACAAGTGTATTTTTCTTTCCAAATATAGAAAGTTTGGAGTGTAGAATGAGATTTTTGGAGTGCTAATAACAATTTCCTTAATTAATAGCTCAATTAATTAAGTAAAGTCTTTAATAGTTTTTTAATTAATGTAGAAGTATAAAAAATATATATAAACGCTCGTAATGACAAGTTTTACAACTTTGATAAAGAGCTTCGAAATTCGCCACTATAATCATATAAATCATAGATCAAAATTTAACCGTTGATTGTTGTTTACTTTTACGCTTCATTGTTCTCATTAAATTTTGTTTTTTCAAATTTTCTTTTTTGAAAACATGATCTATTAGAGGATGTAGGAAGATGAACGGTTTGGATCGTTGATATTAAATTCAGAGTATTACGGTTAGTGAAAATATTGATTGATGTTTATAAAGTTTCTACAAACTATATGACATCGACTCATATTTAAGTTGACCATAAATATCAAAACGTGATATCAAAGATCTGAACCGTTCATCTTCTTACATCTGCCAGATGATCATGTTTTCAAAAAAGAAAATTAAAAAAATGAAATTCAGTAAGAAGAATAAAGAATAAATGACAATCGACGGTTAAATATAAATTTAAGGTTTTTGGATTATAGTGTTGGATTTCGAAGTTGACCCCTTCATGAAAGTTGTAAAGTTTGTCACTATGAGTAATTGTATATTATAATTTTTTTACATTTTTTACACTTCTACAATAATTATTATTAATTTTGCCCTCAAATAAAAAACATTATTTATGACGGTTTAGAGGATTTTAAAAATCTAAACGATAATGTAAGTTTAACCATTATCTACTCGTGGAGAAATAATGATGAATCACGAGTATTTATATATTCTTTCATATTTTTCATACTTGTATGTATGTCTTCTTAGTTTTTGCCTATACAAATACTATATTGTTGTAGCCATAATTTACTATACAATTATGGAGGCCATATAGAGAGAAAGGGTGCGGCATATAGAGAGAGAAGAGAGAGATGTGTAATTGTGGGTGTGTGTTAATTATTCCACCCCATTGTGCCTTCATTTATAGTAGTAGGGAAGGTTAATTCTTTACCCTTTAGGATTACACATTGAATAAGTAATCCACTCCTAATAGGAATATAAGATACATTCTTAATATCTACTAGGATTTGCACAATCACATTCCTATTCCAATAAGACTGCAACATTCCCCCTTGAGTGTGTAAATACTCAAGTAAATAGCGCATCAAGTCTTCAGTGATGAAGCAAGTACAATTGATGAAGTCGTCGGCACAATAAGTGAATGCGAGTCTCAAATCAACGGAAGAATGCATAAAAAGTAAAACTCACAAAACCTTTGCTATGGTAAAACCTAAGGTGGGAGAAAAACCTATGATTAAGGAGAAAAGTGAGAAGTTACATTAAGTCAAAACTATACGTCTTTTTGTACTCAAGTAGAAGAGCTCTCAAGGGTATGATCAGCCCAAGATGGGTGCCTCATTAAAACCTAATTAGGTAGCAAAAATCCAGTGGGAAAAATGCTCCTATTCGTAGGGAAAAAGAGTACATTAAGATCAAGTGAATATACTTCTGGATGCTCCCACTAAGTTTAACATAACTTCCAAATGAGAACTACAAGCATTACATATGATAGTTAGGCATACC